ACAAAAGTAAACTTATTGTTTCATGGGTATCGTAGCCCCATATTTCTCTTTCGAATGGTGAAAACCGCACCTCTCTATCTATCACCGTTCCGGAGCTATAAGGTCAACACTGACCGGCCATTCTATTCTGAAATGGATAGTAGTTTGTTCATCATTTTCATACATACCAGATCGAGCAATTAAAATTTCATAAACAGTAATCGGCTTTGTTGTTTTGTTTCAATATTATAAACATTGACTAATTCAGAGAAGTGTCCTATCCCCGATAACAAAGCATAAAACAAAACTTTTGAATCACATTGATGATTCAATGACAGGTCAAGCACAAAATCTTGAATGTCACAAGGTAACCTTAAACATTCAAAATTAACTTGATTCATTAATCTGATGCATTCACCAATATTTTTTTCATTTAATATATTCCAGTTTTGATTATCTCGTGATATCATTATGAGTATAAATAAAATTTACGCAAAATCTAAAATATTTTTAGAGAACATTAGAAAGACTTATAGTATATGTATATTCAAACTTTTAACATCAAATGTTGACCTGGTATTTTGACTTCTTGTAACGTAAGTTATTTGTTGAATTGGTACAGATGTACTGTTATTAATGATTTTACACACCTTAAATTTACGCTTTCTTGGTCTATTTTGCTCTTGTTTTTCGTCATCATTATCTTCGTTATAATCATCATTGTTTGCTGTTTTGCGTTGACCAGTATGTTGAATAAATAATGTATTAACATAATGAAGACTACCTGTTCCATCTAATGTACTTTTTGTATTAAAATCACAATTATCGACAACCTTTATAACAGAATTATTGGGTTCAATATCTAAGCGAAAACAAGAAACTACTCATGGTTATTGATCTTCAACAAATATTTCATACATTGGCTATTAAAGCAGAGTAAGTCATCGTTTGTTACTAAAGGCATTCTACCGAGTTTTTAGTATAACCTATTTTTACCTTTGGGTAATTCATCTGGACTGGATGCCTCTTCTGCAGCTTCTGTTTTCAACCTTTCTATTGTTTCAATATTTGATGTAATTCCAAAAATGCACGAGAACAAAGGAACTCAAACACCCACGAAAGACATATATATATGTAGAAAAGTATTCTGTCGCCTAGTGATGCTAAGAAGAACGTGGCAATATTATTATTGTTCTTTTTTTCCTTCCTTCTGCCTTTTGCTGAGATACATATTATAAATAAACAACCTTCATAGAAATAAATGGGAGAAGGACTTGCAGAAATTTGGTCTCCACCCGCGAAACTCATTTTAGAGATCTACTGTTCACTTTCACTATAGGACGAGTCATGTTCTGGGACTGTGGTTACTCCGACCTTGGCAGTTTTGACTACATCAATAAATAAAAAACCATTTACAATATTTATGAGACTGCAGGTTGACCAAGATGTCTCTCGCAATCTTTAATAACCTTGTAATAGCTTCAGCTATTGTCGTACCATTTTGATAACTACACGTTTAAAATAAAAGTTTCACATGAATCATAAAAACAATTGACAGCTGGCAATTACGTTTAGTTCTAAATCAACCCATGTATCCATTTTGTGCTTCCTCCCTTTCCTCTTCTTTTTCTGCTTTTCATTTTTCTCAAATAAACATTTTGCTTGGTCCTTTCTA